ATATCAATCCAAAGAGGCTGGAGTGCGGACGAAATTTTTAGGTGCCCGAAAATTTGATCTCTGATATTTAATGAACACAGAATTTTAGCTAAAAAAAATGGGCTCAAAATTTTTGATTACCTTTGCAAGCGCTGCTGTGAAATGATTGCAATTTTTGGAAATCAGATGGTACTTATCACCTCTGTACTCATGTCCCAGCATTTGGATTAAATGCTTCACGTCGGTTGCAGTAAAATCGGTTTCTCCAATCAAAATGCTTTCCCTGAAACGTACAGATGTCCAGGAAGGATGTGACCAAGAACAACTTAATGATCATCAAAATGTTGGGGAGCGACGATTTCTTACTAAAGATTTTTGGTGAGAACCCAAATGCAGCTAAGAAAAAAGCAACATACTTAAACTTGAAATTTTCCCCCAGTTCCTCTGCATCCTTGGGAGTGTTCTCGAAAATTCCCGAAAATGCAAACGGATGTCCACCATATGCGTATTCTGGAATGAAAAAGAAGCAACAAATGAGAACTGCTATAAGAAACAATATTGAACGAATATGTGTAATTTATTCACAGTAATCTATGGAGGCTCTGAACAAGTAAGCAAAAACATGTTCTTACCTACACCGTACACCTCGATGCCTGTGTGATAGACTCCAAATCCGACCGTCGATGCATAATCATTCAACCAGTACTGAAATGATGACAAACAGATCAGTGCTGCAAAACAGCCGCCTATGCATCTAAAAAGTACCACTCACTCACCTAAACTAAAACATTTTGCAGATAATAATAATAATTACCCCTGCAGCTATTTATGGATCTTTAAGCAAAAAATCACTTTAGAACCCCCTGAAATAACACAGTAGGAAATGGGGGATCAGTCTACTAATCATCATTTGCAAGAAGAAATTTTTGGATGCTGCCTGTGTTTCATCCCTTAGCTGTAAACACAAACTGAACGAAGGACTTATTTTACGGGATGAAGAAAGCGTGATGTATGTAAATTGAATATTCGCTTCCGAAAGCATGCTTTTGATGTGATGTGGGATTTGTGGTATTTTAGACTGCGGTTAACAGGTGAGAGTCTAAGAAAATTTTGGACTAACTTAAAAAAAATGAACCGAAATAATGAAAAAATAAGCAAACCATGTCGTAAACATTCAATCGGACAGGGGCACGAGACATCCTGAATAATCTCTTCGTTTTCCAGGACAAAAGTAAGGAAGTGGTGAACAGTTCACAATAAGTACGCGAGATTACCGTTCCATTTCAGTAGGCTGTTTATTACGGAAACAAAATTGCTGTGGTAAAAGTTGTAGGCTATGAGGGATGGATCACTGTGTTTGTTAGTCGGATTAGCTCAATAACCACAAACCTGCAAATTTTGTTACTCAAACGCAAAAAAAAAGAATTTTGCTTTCGGCAATAATGCTGCGGAATTTCCTAAGAAGCAGCACTGTAAAGTCACCAAAAGGATCTTCTCTGCGCCCACCAGTATTATTCAAAAAAAAAACAGGTACGGCGAAAAGTCTGGAACTACGTCGAAATAAGTTGCAAAATAGCAAAAGCGCAAAAATGCTGAAGTTTCGGCTG